AAAGCCCAAGAATTCCAGGCTGGGAATCACTCATGTGACACAGTATTTCTGTTAATAAACTTAAACATTGTTGCGGTTTTCTTTCTTTCTTTTTTTTAACAGCTTTATGTACATATAATACAGTAAATGGCACATATTTAAAAAGTATAACTTGATGAGTTTTCTACATATGTATACAAGTGTGAAACCATCAGTACGATCAAGACTACAAACATTTCCAGTTCTCCAAAAGTTTCCTTGTATCCCTTTTAATCCATATCTCCCTCCACCTCCAATCTCAGGCAACTATGCATCTGCCTTCTCTCGAAACAGATTGTATTTTCAAGAGTTTTAGATAAAGGATAGCATACAGTATATGCTCTTTTTTGGTCTGGCTTCTTTCACTCAGCATAATAATTTTTAGATCAATCCATGCAGTTATATGTATCCATAGTTTGTTTTTTATTACTGAGTAGTATTCCACTGTATGTATATACCACAATTTGCTTATCTATTTTCCTATTGATGGACACTGGGGTTATTCCCATACCTTGCTATTATGATAAATAAAGCTGTTAAAATATTCATGCACGAATCTTTTTGTGGAAATACACTTTGATTTCTCTTGGGTAAATACCTAGAATTAGAACGGCTAAGTCGACAGGTATATGTTTAACATTTTAAGAAACTACCGAATTGTTTTCTAAAATAGTTCACCATTTAGAACTTTGAGAGTTCTGAGAGTACCAGTGGCTCCATGTCCCTGACAGTATTTGGTGTAGTAAGTCTTAAATTTTAGCAATTCAAGTTGGTGTGTAGTGATATCTTATATGGTTTTAATTTGCATTTCCTTGATGACTAAGATGTTGGGCACCTTTTTGTGTACACATTGGCCATTCTTACATCTTCTTTTGTGAAATGTCTGTTCAAATCTTTTCCCTCTTTAAAAAAGATAGTTTGTCATTATTGAGTTAAGAGTTCTTTACATATTCTTGATAGAAGTCTTGCCAGAGGGCTTCCCTGGTGGCTCAGTGGTTGAGAGTCCGCCTGCCGATGCAGGGGATGCGGGTTTGTGCCCCGGTCCGGGAAGATCCCACATGCCGCGGAGCGGCTAGGCCCGTGAGCCATGGCCGCTGAGCCTGTGCTTCATAACGGGAGAGGCCACAACAGTGAGAGGCCCGCGTACCGCAAAAAAAAAAAAAAAAAAAAAGAAAGAAGTCTTGCCAGATAGGTGTTTTGCAAAGAATTTTAGCCAAACTGTGGCATGCCTTTTCATTTTCATAAGTGTCTTTTAAAGAGAAAAAGGTTTAATTTTGAAGAAGTCCAAATTATAATTTTTTTCCTTTGACTCTGTGGTTTTTGCATTCTGTTCAAGAAATTTTTGCCTACCCCAAGTTCACTAAGATTTTTCTCCTATGCTTCCTTCTAAAAGTTCCAGGGTTTTAGTTTTCACTTTTAGGTGTATGATCTATTTTTAGCTAACTTTTGCATTTGTTATGAGGTAAGGACTGTAGTTCTTTTCTGGAGGGGTGGGGGGATATAGACCTTTAGTTGTTCTGGCACCATTTGTTGTAAAGATTATCCTTGCCTGACTTCCTGTGCTACTTTTGTCAAAAATCAATTAGCAATATATGTGTGGATCTACTTCTAGATTTTCATATTCTCTTTCATTTAACTATATGTTTACTTTAAGCCAATTCCATGAGGTCTTGGTTAATGAGTCTTGAAACTGGAGAGCATAAGTCCTCCAACTTTGTTCTTTGTTTTGAAACTTTGTTTCAAAATGGTTTTGGCTATTCTAGGTCCATTGTATTTCTATATACATTTTAGAATTAGCTTTATCAATTATTACCAAAAAAATACTCCAGAATTTTGATTGGGATAGCACTGAATCTACAGATCAGTTTGAATCCACGGCCGTAATATTTCTTTCCATTGTTTTCTTTCAGCAACCTTTTGCTGTTTTCAGCATACAGGTATTGCATTGCACATCCTTGTTCAAATTTATGCTTGAGTTTTGGTTTGTTTGTTTTTTGGATGCTTTTGTATATGGTATTTTAGAGTTTTCTATTTCTGATAGTTAATTGTTACCATTGAGAAATACATCTGAATTTGTATACTGATCTTGTATCCTGTAACCTTGCTAAATTTACTTTTTAGTTCTAGTAGGCTTTTTAGAGATACCTTATGATTTTCTACATAAATAATTATGTCATCTGTGAAAAAAAGATAATATTGTATATCCTCAAATAACATGTATAAGAAGCTTAAAATAGTATTTTTCAATTTCCCCACGCTCAGCCTTTGTATGACTACTGTCATGTTTTACTTCTACCCCTGTTCCCAAACCCAGAATATATTATTATTTAAACTTTAAAGTCAATTATCTTTTAAAGAGATTTTTTAAAATAAGACATGTATTTTATATATACTATTTATTTGACATTTCCTGTGCTCTTCATTCCTTTGTGCAGATCCAAATTTCCAAGTAGTGTCATTTTTCTCCTGCCTGAAGGACTTCTTTGTAATATTTTTTGCAAAGCAAGTCTGATAATTATGAATTATCTCAGTTCGTGCATGTCTGGAAATGTCCATTACTTAGACTTTTTTTTTTTTTTTTGGGCTGGAAATAAAAATTTGTGTTGGTAGGTTTTTTTCTTTCAGTACTTATATACCACCCCACTATCTTCTGACTTGAATTGTTTTTGTTGAGAAGCCTGGCAGTAGTTTTCTTCATCATTCTTGTGGTTCATTTTGGGGTTCATTCAGCTTCTTAGACCTGTAGGTTTATATATTTTGTTAATTGCTAAAACTTTTAGCCATTATTTCCTCAAATATTTTTTCTGTTCCCTCATCTTTCCTTTCCTTTTGGAATTCCAGTTACACTTACTTTAGATTGCTTGAAGTTGTCCCACTGATCCTCTGTTCATTTTTTTCCCCTTTATGTCTTTTTTTTAAAAAATAAATTTATTTATTTATTTATTTTATTTTTGGCTGCGTTGGGTCCTTGTTGCTGCGCACAGGCTTTCTTTTAGTTGCGGTGAGCGGGGGCTATCCTTTGTTGCGGTGCGTGGCCTTCTCATTGCAGTGGCTTCTCCTGTTGCGAGCATGGCTCTAGGCGCGTGGGCTCAGTAGCTGTGGCTTGAGGGCTCTAGAGCACAGGCTCAGTAGCTGTGGCACACGGGCTCAGTTGCGCCGAGGCACGTGGGGTCTTTCCAGACCAGGGTTCAAACCCGTGTCCCCTGTATTGGCAGGCAGATTCCCAACCACTGCGTCACCAGGGAAGCCCACCCCCCCACTTTATGTTTTAATCTGGAGTTTCTATTGCAAAGTCTTTAGGGTCACTAATACTTCCTTCTGCAGTATCTAACGTTAATCCCATCCAGTGTATTTTTCATCAGATTCTGTATATTTCATCTTTATAAACTGAATTTGGACTTTTTTTTTGTCTTGCATGCTCATGCTTTCTTTGACTTTCTTAAATATCTGGAGTATATTTATATAATAGTTAAATTACCACACTTGTCTATTAATTCCATCATCTGTACCATTTCTGCATTCCTATCTAAGGAATGAGTTTCCTCCTCATTATTAGTCAGATCTTCCTGCTTCTTTACATGCCCGATAAATTTCTGATTGGCTGTCAGACATTGTGAATTTTATGTTTTGGATGCTTAATTTTTTGGTATTCCTTTTAATATTTTGGGGCTTTGTGTGGGATAGTTATGTGCAACCATTTTGGTTCTTTTGAGCTCTGCTTTTAATCTTTGCTGGGAAGGCCCAGAACAGCCTTTAGTCTCGGGCTGTTCCCCCACTACTGGCACAATACTCTTCTGAGGACTCAACTTGATGTCCCATGTGTTAGGAAGTCTTTCCTCTCTGGCTGGTGGAAACCCAAACTATTCTTAATCCTGGGTGAACTCCAGGGATTGTTCTGTCTAATTGTTTGTCCTCAATAACTTCCTCATATGCATACTCTGATCAGTACTCAGCTAAAGACTCAAGAGAAACTTTCTACAGATCTCTGAAACTCTTTATGAGTAGGCTGTTCCTCTCTGAGACTCTGTCCACAAGTTCTAGCCACTCAGTACCTCCAAAGTCCAAAGTCTGCCTCCTCAATGCAGGGAGATTCTGGGGTGTTTGGGCTCTCTCTCCCCGAATCGCGGTTGGAAATTCTCTCCCATAAATAAAGCTTGGACAAATGTAGGGCTCACATTCTTCCTTTCTTTTCTCTCAGGGATCCTGTGCTATTTGTGTCCAATGTCTGAAAACTGTTGTTTCATACATTTTATTCAGGTTTTTACTTGTGTAAGACAAAAGCTATATCTAGTCTATGCTACTCCAGCATGGCTGGAAGTTTTACTGTTGCTTTTGAAACATACTTAGGGCCACAGTCTGCGGCTACATGGGTTGCAATGTGCAACTCCAGAATACAATGTGAACATACCTTCCTCCTATCCCCAATCTAGATTTGAGTAAAACAGAAACCCTAATCACACTGACTATTAATATACTAAGCTTGTGGTCAATAAACCTCTCATTTGGGTAAGAATAATGACTCAAATGCTCAGATGCAGATAATTCCGAATTTATAAATGTCATGATCTCATTGTTTGGCATTTGAATAAATCTTCTCATCAAATCAATATCATAAACGATTATTTGGTTCCCACAATAGACCCATAACATAACTGAAGTGTAATGCCTTCAGTAATCGATTAAAAACACCTAAGTACCATTTATAACATGGTTGCTGTGGGAAGACACAACTGGAATTCTAACCAGAGATTCCAGGAACGTGTTTCCTTCATTTGTTAGTTTAGGGTGCACACGTAATCATATGGAAGAGGGTGGGAGAGTGAGGGTCAAGACTGTAAAAATTTGGATGGGGGATGAGATAGATACTAACATGTAAACTATATATTAACATAGGGACAGACCTCTTTTTACCCATCTAAAGGTATATTACAGAAAGATCTCTTCAGTTAAAATATGATGAGAGCAAAATGAAGTGTACTTACTCATCCAACTCCTCTTCTTCAGCTTTAGAACTATCAGCATAGAGATACTTGCTCATGTCCACCGGTCTTATATTTTTTCTTTTTGTAGACTGGGGAGGAGAATCCTTTATAGTTACAAAGGCTTCTGGCTCATCAAATGGGTTCAAATACTGTGGAGTCTGTACCTCTTTAAAGGGATTATAGCTGTTATTATAAAAGGATTCTTCTGGTTTTTTAGGTGAAACTGTTTCAGTGATTTGTTCTATAAAACAATAGCAAAAGATGAATTAAATCAAATTAATACTATCTGATATTTTCTTATATATTTAGTGTTCTCAAAAATACTCAATCTTGAATTAATAAACTCTATGGGGTTGAAAGAGTGCAGATCAATAATACGTTTTATGAAATTGAGTTATTTGTAGTGAGGTGGATGGACCTAGAATCTGTCATACGGAGTGAAGTAAGTCAGAAAGAGAAAAACAAATACTATATGCTAACACATATATATGGAATCTAAAAAAAAAAAAAAAGGTTCTGAAGAACCTAGGACAGGACAGAAATAAAGATGCAGGCACAGAGAATGGACTTGAGGACACAGGGAGGGGGAAGGGTAAGCTGGGATGAAGTGAGAGAGTGGCATGGACTTATATATACTACCAAATGTAAAATAGATAGCTAGTGGGAAGCAGCCACATAGCACAGGGAGATCAGCTTGGTGCTTTGTGACCACCTAGAGGGGTGGGATAGGGAGGGTGGGAGGGAGACGCAAGAGGGAGGAGATATGAGGATATATGTATATGTATAGCTGATTCACTTTGTTATAAAGCAGAAACTAACATACCATTGTAAAGTAATTATACTCCAATAAAGATGTTTAAAAAAAAAACCAAACATAAAATTGTCAAAAAAAAAAAAAAAGTTTTAGAGGGGCTAAGTCCAGAAGATGTGATATCTAAGATCTTTGTCTACTTCTCCAGGAACAGTGCTCTTCAAAGTAGCATCTTTGAATTGTTAATGCCCTTGGAATCTCTATTAATGTTGGCATTATGGTATACCAATTTTGTAAATTTTAACCTTCTTAGAGGTACAATATCCTATTATTGCTTAATTTATTTCACTATACTAGCTTGACGTCTCAAACTGATACATAAATTTCTGTTTTTAAAAGAACATAAAATGGATTAAATTTTGGAATAGTCTTTGGTAGTTACACAAGCAGAGACCACTTAGGAATCTGAAAATACATTCTGGATATATAAAAAATACACCATATATCACTGAATTTGCTTTTGTAAAGTCTTCAAAGAGCAGGTTTCTGTACACTACAAGTCCTTAAATCTTTAGAGCTTTTAATGGGCTTTTCAACATAATTCATATCCAATCAATACCTTATTTAATAACGTAAAGAAATAACAAGAATTCTGAAGTTGAAAGAGCCACATTAAAATCATACTGAGAAGCAGATAGATGTGTTCCACTAAATTCTAAATTTTACTATTTCAAATTTCAATTTGAAAACAAAGGAACTCTTAAAAATAAAACTCTGACTTTACAGCACAAAAAGCACTACAACAGTGTCATGTCCTCCGACAATACTTATGGAGTGCTTAGTACCAGGCTTTTTCTTTTACTTTTACGTTTATTAATATTTTGAAACAAAAACAAGGCAGAGTTCCATGGTGGTCCAGCGGTTAGGACTCTGTGCTTTCACTGCTGTGGGCCCGGGTTCAATCCCTAGTCAGGGAACTAAGATCCCTAAGCCATGTGGAGAGGCCAAAAAAAAAAAACCAACAACAAACTGGAATGTAAAATAAAACTGTTTAAAATTTGTATTTTACTAATATAAGTATGTAACCAAACTGGAAAAAAGTTTCAAAAAGCCGATAATCACAGAACAGTTCAAAAGTAATTTTAATTATGCCAAGCAACTCTAACGAAATACTCTAGGAGAAGAAGGCAGAAAATCAGTTTTAAAATCTTCAAGAAAAATAACTGTTTTATAAGTGACATTTCAAACAGTTTAATCCAATTATTAGAAAAATCTCTTGATTGACATATATTTATGATTTTTATATTTTAGAATCAAACTACTTTTACTTATACTTTAGACATTAGCCCAGAAAACTTATGTTGTCTTTATATTGAAAAAATAAATAAAACAAAATAACTCTGAATTGAAATTCTGTACACCATGGTGACGCAATTATAAAGTATGAAAGAGAATTCATAACATCATAATAAATCAACACTGAAATGAATTTAAATACAGCCTATGCTAGAGAAGAGACTCAGTAACTGTATCTTTTGTCAGACCAGGATAACACTCAAACACCACTATAATCTTTATAATAATCTAAATGAAGCATTATCTTTTCTCTGTAGAAGAGACTACAGAGTTTTTACCTATTCAATTTTTTTATTAACAAATACCAAGTCTCAAATGCTTAAGAAATTGATAAAACCTGTCAATGGAAATAAGATTTTTATTTTTACTTTCAGGTAGAGGATTACAAAAATTGATCCAAGCAATTTCATCAGTTACAAAACCAAAAGCAAGAAAGTATTCAAACTATAGAGCAAGATTTGAAGATGACAGAATAGCAACAAAGGAGAGTTTAAGATGAGACTATTTCATATAAAAGCTAACAAATACATTTAGTAACTTTCTAAACGGGTCACTGAAGCACAGAATGTCATGAATCTAACTAAGAGGAGAACTGAAATTGTAAAAGCAAACAAAAACAAAAGCCATCTAAACAACTGTAACACATTTTTTTCTTTCTTAACTACTTTTGTTACTTGAGGATGCATGTTTTTAATCAATAAAAATTAATAAATTATTTCTAGAAAAATGAGTGTTCTTCTAATAGAAAATACTTATTCTAAAGTCTCCAAGAACTATATATTTAAAGAGAATACTGGTTGTCAAGTTTTTTCTTAGCTCTATAGGCATGATTAAAGTTTCTGAATCAGGTTGGCTAACCTCGCTTAACCTCTCCAAAATAGAAATACAATATATATGTTATCTGCTACTCCTTTCTATACCTCAGAAAAGATACACATATATTTTTAAAAATTACTAATTTGATTTTGAAATGAAAAGCTCAAATACTCATATCTCAAAATATTTTGGTAATTTTTTTTTTAACTCAGTGTACTCAGATGTATTTAGTATGCAATTGAGAAGCTTTGTGGTCAAAAGAAGACACTTGATTAGCAATCTTAGCTCCAACTCCACCTCCATTTACCTAAAGTTCTTCTTCAAATCACTTAATTCCACTGGGCCTCAGCTCCTTAATCTATGAAAAGAGGCAGCTGAACCAGATTACTTCTAAAATGTACTGTAACTGTTAAGATTTAAAATATGTTAAAATAAAATAAGTCACAGGGCTTCCCTGGTGGAGCAGTGGTTAAGAATCTGCCTGCCAATGCAGGGGACATGGGTTTGACCCCTGGTACAGGAAGATCCCACATGTTGCAGAGCAACTAAGCCCACGCACCACAACTACTGAGCCTGTGCACCACAACTACTGAGCCCGCGCGCCTATAGCCCATGCTCCGCAACAAGAGAAGCCACCGAAATGAGAAGCCCATGCACTGCAACAAAGTGTAACCCCTGCTCGCTGCAACTAGAGAAAGCCCACGCACAGCAATGAAGACCCAATGCAGCAAAAATAAATAAATAAAATAATTAGAAAAAATAAAATATAGGTCACAAACAAAATAAAATCTCATTAATCTAAACTTAATAATTTAGAATTTGGTAAGAAGGGAGAAAGTAATGGAAGTTCCTCTCCTTCCATTACTTTCAGAAGTGGATTATGAAATGATATTGCACAAATAGAGTGAATCCTTAAGTTGAAAACCTCACTTTTCACCATGACAGGCAGTAGCAAAATTCTTTAAAGCTCATGAAGATTTCATAAGAGCAGTCTAAAAGATGTAAACAGGGGTTAATCATTCTTGCATTTACTTTGAGCAGAGTTTAATAAAACAGAGGTCTTCTTCAACAGCTCTTTTCTAAGCTTTAATAGTTTGAAACTACTTGATAAGAAAAATGACTCACGAAAAAAATACATGGTTTTATTTCTTACATGTTGTATATATGACAGGAGTGGTCCTCAATCTTCTTTCTGTTCTGTGACATTCACGTGCACAATTTACTTTCGTTACTAAGAGTAATTCTCAGCCAGAGACAGGCAGTTGGGAGTGGAGAGGCTCATCACACTGAGGTGTGAGGGCCGAGAAGCTGTATATAGAGAAAAGGCTACCTCCACCACCTTAATATGGGTATGTCCCACAACCTGACCTTGCTTGGTAGGCCAAACTAATGAGACTTTACTGCATGCCAGCTAGATAAAATACTGTTATCTCTAACATTAGAGCTTTACTATTTGACCAAACTAACAAAGAATTAAAATATAAGCCCCAAGTAAATGTCTATGTAAGGCTTCCCTTTTTCTTTAAAAACAATTCAATGGAAGCTACCCAGAATTGCTGATCAACTGCAATTGGTATTGAACAAATAATATTGTCATTATAAACAAAATGTACAAGTCTTTAAAAACAAAATCTCTTCCTGCCTTTACAGTTCAAGAGAACTTAACAATACACAAAGACTTTAAAAGTAAAGAAAAAAACTTGCTACCTTCTGAGTCAGGATCTCCAAATGGATTTAATTCTGCTACATCAGGATCACCAAATGGATTTAAATTCACAGTGGCCAAGTCCTTTTCTGCTTCATCCAAAAAGTTAAGTTTGTTGATAAGCTCTGAAAACAAACATACGTGTCAGTTCACTGTGGTTACAGTTAAGCATAATTATCACTCATTCATGAAATATCTCAAATTGTAAAAATTCATACTAATAATACCTGCAAATAATAAGATATAGCATTTTACCAATGACAGAATGCCATTCAAGTATTTTGTAGCATACCAACATATTCAAATAAAAGAAAACAAACACATGAATTGGAAAATATCAGATAATGAACTAGAGAAACTTTTAGCTCAATCTAATTTGATCCAATAAAAAAGTACTAACATAGATTTTGAGAAAAAAACATCCTTCACTTCTAAATATGAATAATTCAAATTGATTTAATATAAGAAAATATTTCTAAAACAATGTTGTTACAATATATAAGCTAACTAAAGAAATTCTGTCATGTTATACGACCAGTTATTATAAGATGTTTTAAAATCACTGCTTATCAAGGATCCTGATACAGGCTTTGCTAAAGATGATAAGTTCTGTTATGTTGTTGCCTGTTGGTGCACTACAAATTACCAAAGAAAATTTATTAAAGGAAAAGCACAAAGACAAAACTGAGAGCTAAGTACAGACAGAAGTCAAGAGGTAGCAGGTCACAGTAAATTCAAGCAATCAGAAGAAGAAAGAAAGGAAGAAAGCTCTTAGACCTTCAGAGGAACTGGCTGATTTAGCTGAAGGCATATTTGCTTGCTTTATGCAGTCATCTTGATCTTCATCTAAGCTGCTCAGAGCATTCAATTGGTTTACAATTTCTGTAAACAGAAGCCAGTCGAGACAAATGTAAGGTAAGGTCATTTAATTAAAGAGCCACAGAAGCATGCTGTTACTCAAAAAGACAAAGAGAGGGGATGTTTGGTTAATCAAGAGAATACATTCAGAGGATGTTATTTTTGATGAACTATAACAGATGTATTTAACTGAAAGTTATGCTGTACTTATATTTTAAAATAGAAAACATTTTAAAAATTAAAATTTATATTAGTACTATAACAACTATGTTAACAAACACAAAACAAAGATAATAACCTGAGAAGTTGGCATTGGCTTTCACATTCTGCATTTGTAAAATAGGGCTTTAAATGCATGCATTAAAAACAGAATAAGAAATATCTAATACAATAGAAAATATGTGCTATTTGTTTTGTAATATTCTAAATTTAAACTATAAGTTTTAAGAATATATCTACATGAAACATGAACATAATAAGCACTTTTTCATATTCTAGAATTTTAAAAATCAGCACAAAATAAGAAAAGCAGGCAATAGCTATTTTCCACTCCTGCTTTCTAGGGAATTTGTTCTTTTAAGGGAACTCTTGAGTGTTTGCTTTAGGATATCTTATAATTTAGCCAGTAAGAGACAGAATAAAAAAGACAGGAACAGGTAGAAAAACCTTAAAATAAAAATTCATTTTGTGCATAAACAGAATTTTAAAAAATGAGTCATATTGTGGACAACTCCGAATATGTGAAATTATGATTTACTGGGTGAAAATTAGCTTGGAATAAAATAATAAGAACCTACTAGAGTATTCTAGCTAATCCTCGCCATTTCCAAACTTAAAACCTGGGAATAACTTAGGCATTAGCACAAACCAAATAGATCCAGATCATTCAGTGGGAAATAAAGAAAATGGTTAGAAATAGACAATAGTTGTGAATTCAGCATTAAAATGCTGTTTTTTAACACTGTAAATCTAAGTACACATTCTAAATTTTATGTGAACCAAATAATAAAATACACAGTTGTAATAAGGTTGCCTTCATCCATTCATTTGTTGTTGAACAAATACTGGTTTATCACCCTGTGCCAAATACCATGCTTGGAACATAAGGATGAAAAAAACATAGTATTGTCCTCATGGAATTTACCATCGATAAAGATAGAAATTAATACAGAAACAGACAATAAATGACTACTAGAATATTAGGTGGTCAGAAATGTGTATTGTCGTATAGATCTTTGAGCCAAATACATATGAAATACTGACATTCATTTCCCTTGTCTGAATGAGAAATATATTTTGCATGAATAAAAATGCTTGAGATAGTCAAAGTACATCATAGAAAATAAAGAGTAAACACAATACCAACTGAACTCTTAATCTGAATGTGAATAATAAGAGTTAGTCAACCTTTATAAAGTATCTTCTTCCATTTTATCCTGCCAATAGATTAAATCCCATTCTGACTCAAACTAACCTAGCAAATTCCTCAGTAGGCAGAGTTTATTCTTGAATTAGATCTTTTACCCCTGACTAGTAGTCATTGTAACTTTGTAATTCTCAGGGAAGTATAATGGAGAGAATCTATCCTATGTGATTACCAATGCATGACTGATTTTTTTAATTCATTACTAGTTTTGTATTTTTTTAAATTTGCAGATGATTTATTTTTAACTTCAAAAATATGAAAAAAGAAATATTAATAACAGTTAACATTTATTAAGCAGTGGAAAGGGCTCTGCATATGTTGAGTTAATTCACATAAACATCCTGAGGTATTATTATTAATATTCACATTTTATCATGTATATTAGTATCATTTATTTGCACTGTATTCCCAGATGTGTAATTATGAGGCTAAAATATTTTAAAATAATGTTCAAAGATTTGTAGTTCTCTTTACACATTTTAGTTATTTAATATTCTTAGATGTAATCTCAATGAGAGTAGAAATTATTTATTTATTTTATTTTTATTATTATTATTATTTTTGCAGTATGCGGGCCTCTCACTGTTGTGGCCTCTCCCGTTGCGGAACAACAGGCTCCGGACGCGCAGGCTCAGCGGCCATGGCTCACGGGCCCAGCCGCTCCGCGGCATGTGGGAGCTTCCCGGACCGGGACACGAACCCGTGTCCCCTGCATCGGCAGGCGGACTCTCAACCACTGCGCCACCAGGGAAGCCCCCTAGAAATAATTTATTTAAGCACCGTATATAATGAGCAATAGAGGGAATACTGAAGAAATATTAAACTTCGTTCTTACTTTCAAAACATTATTATTGTTCCATTATAAACTTTTAGGTACAATGTGGGCATTTATTTAAATACTATCAAGATGACTGAATTACATGACTAAATTATTTACACTGTAATTTTTCTGAATGTTTAGAATATTTCCTTCCCCTCACCATGCTTTTGGTGATACCTAAAACCACTGATAAAAAAATAAACAAATAAACCCACTAATGACCATTTCTTCATTAATTAACCCAAAGTAATTTCTTATTTCCATCCTTCTCACTGATGACAAGTTGTCCTTCCTATCCTAGCTTTCCCTATTTATTTATAGCTTAAATAAATCCTTACTTAACACCTAGAATTTCTGCTCCTAGAACTTTCATTCATATTAACAAAGTGAAAAGGTAATGCTCCTCTTATTTGGTATGCAAATAAATATCCATCCAAACCATAAAAAGAAGCAATCTCCAAAGAAATACCATTTACCTATATAAGAAACATTTCTCAAGTACCTATTATACTTTTTGGGGACAGACAAGTAAAGCAATATACAGTGTATGATAAATATGATATTTGTTATGACTGAGATATGTATTGTAGGGTATGTGAAACTAGAAGAGAGGCATACAACTCAGTCTGAGGTCAGGAAGCCCTCCTGGATTTATTCAAGGAGGATTTATTGAGTGAAAATAAGACAAATAGACATCATTATTATTATTAAAATAAAGGAGAAACTGGAGGGCATTTCACAACGATGAAAGGGAGCTGAATGAGAACATGATATACTTGAGGAACGGCAAGTTGTTTGGGGGTTTAAGATACCAGGGATGGGGAATGGAATGAGATGTGGTTGGCAAATGTCCTATCATGAAGGTTATAGTGACCAAAATAAAGAATGTGAACTTTACTCTGAAAGCTCTGGGAATCCATTGTAAGATCAAATGTATAGTTTAGAAACATCATTCCAGGAGCAACATGGTAGCTGCACTTGAAAAAAACAGGATAGGAAGCAAAAAGATGAGTAGTTTAGCATTACTGCTCCATGAAGGGAGGCACTTAGTAAATATCTGCTAATTAAAGAATAGATTAAGAAGAAAGCTTTGATGGTTAATTTGACATGGGGGATGAGGAGAGGAATCTAGGATACATGCCAAGTTTGTGTCTTGGGTGACTGTGTGGACATTAGTTCTAGCACTGCAGTGGGGGCTACTCAGTTTGGCCATACCAAGCTACAGGTGCCTGTGAAACTTACGAAAATAATTCAATTGGCATTTGCATATGTGGGTGCACAGCTTAAAATACATCACTTTGTTATGTATTTCTCCTTTTAAAAAAGTACTTTTCTGTTACTTCCAAATTTCCTGCAGCCAATGTGTTTTACATGTATAATCAGAAAAACAAAAATTAAAAATTTAAAAGAAGACTTACAACACAAATTTATTCCCAGAATTTTTTTAAGTGGGATGCTTTCCCAGTAATATACCACCCTGACCAAAAAAATTCCCTGGCCCAACATATTTATATAATACTTCTTACTAATTAAAGCCTTGTTTCACCAAAAATTTACACTTCGGAAAATGCTAACAATGCTATGTAATAGCACAAAATAATTTCTACCCTAGCACTACTCAAACTGAGCAATAAACCGGTAGTGTAGCATTTAGTCATCATAACAGTGTGTCAATCTGGACTTGCTTCATACTGGTGAGAATAAGAAGGAAAACTAAATTAGGGGCAGGCAATCGAAGCACAGGGTCAAGTAATTTGAGACTCTTCTTTACATTAGGAAGGCAAAAGAAGATAGAAATTGACCACCAGAGATTATCACACTGGACCAAAACAGGGGGATGAAAGTGGTGTCACAAAGAGTGCGTGGGTTTTTCTTTTAAGAAAGTCTGTAGTGGAGTTAAAAGGGCAGGGTGTGGGAGGGTCTGCCTAGAGCTAGAACATAGCTGCAAATCTTGCAGCATCCTCATTCTTCTCTCCAAAGTATAATAAGATCCAGTACAGGTATATCTCATTTTAAGATGGTCTAAGATAGTAACACTGCAACTTCTTAATAGAGATCAAGTTCCCAAAGATGTCACTTTTCTCACGGGCTTGAGCCCATAAATATTTGATTTATGGATATAACTAACAGGTTTAATAATGTGATTTTCAATCCCTTTAGCAGGTCATATTGTAAATGAATGAATGAACTGAATGAAAGTCATAACACTTGCTGTAATTTTTATAAAGGCAGAAAGACATATACCTTATATTTAAATTTTAGCAATTGTGTGTTTTTAACCTATGTGTTTATCTTATGTCTGTCTACATATCTATGCATATATATGTATCTATCTACAATATATTTCATTTATCTCTAGAAATGTTATAGTTTAAGCTACCAACCTAAAATTTGGTGGCTAAAAACAAATGATTACCTCTCACAGTTCTATGGGTTAATGCACTCAGCTGAGTAGTTTACTGCAGTTAGATGGAGGCTTGAGACAAAGTCATCCAAAGCTTGAACTGGGCTGGATGTCCAAAATGGCTTCTTCACTTACATGTTTGGTGTTTCAGCTGAGAGGCAGGAACAACTGGGGGCTGGCCAGACATCTCTCTCTCTCTCTCTCTCTCTCTCTCTCAAGTGGCCTGTCCATATGGGTAGTTTGGGGTTCCTCTCAGCATAGCAATCTTGGGGTAGATGGAGTTTTTACATGGCAGCTGGTATCCCCTAGAGAATGCACTAGAAGAGTCCCAGGTGGAAGCTACAAGGCATTTTATAACTTAGCTTTAGAAGTTA